AAACAATGTCACGAAAATAAACTAATCAGAATTGGAAAATAGCAAAAGCAGACTCCTTTGTTATAAAAATACATCTAGATCACATTTCGTTTCACTAGCCGCAAAATGTGTGTACAGTTGTATATACACAGTCTGTTGTAATAAGTGCACAAGGAACAACAGTGGAATTACACTTCCTGTAATGACAAGACAATTAGCTAGAATCATTTTGTTTATCCTGTTAGCACTGCCACCTAGGAGTCATGAAAAACCTATTACATCAAATAAACATGAAAAATAACTTAAAGAAACATCTTGCAAAATAGAATATAATTTGTCTAATTTATATAGTCTACGTTAATTTTTATGGCTGTGTTAGATTACAACTTTCTCATTGCACCCAAAAAAGATTGGTATTATGAACAAGTCCATCAGGCTCGATCTCGTAGAGCGACACACCACAAAGCCGCACTAACGTATGCACAATACTGCACATTTGCTCAGGCAGTTTTTTATGCAAACGTCTACCATTATTTACCACTCAACAATGACTTAACAAGTCTTTTCAACTTATTTGTCAGAATCCACAGTAACAATTGACAACTGAATACATTTGCAACATTTCTAGACTACTCATCAGTGTCCTATCTTTGTATTTAGAAAATTTTGTGTGGTCTCCTCCATCGAAAATCCACTACAACTTAATTAGATAGATCCCGAAACATCAGAACAATGTCTCACTACCAAATATGGCTCGATAGCACAGAAAGAAAGGTCATAATGCTCGTTCAGTTATTGGTTATTCAATCAAACAGCTGTCTTAACTGCACATGCATTCTATTGTGAAACACTACTTGAGAGCTCGGAAAGCGAGGAATGCCACTTTTTTTCAATCATTGATTTTTGAACCAAGTGGCTGTTCTAACTATTAGCCGAGCAGCTAACTTCAGCCATAACTGTTTTGAAGTCGTCGTCGGTATTTCAGCCGATTATCAAAGCAAATAGACTACTCCTCAGCAAGTCAGTTATGTATTACTAGTCTTTTCGTTCTCATCAGCTGATATGAGATTATACAACAAAGTACTTTCTCATCACAAATGACTTGCTCACCCATCTCTGATTTCTGAAGTAACCAGTTTTCAAGAGGTTCATCAGTGATGTAGGTTTTCAGCCTACCAATATGTTCTACACGCGTTTTCAAAATTGCTGTAACTCGCAGTTCATTTCATTAAGCTGTCAACAGACAAGAAATGGACCTGTCAAGCCAAAACAGGACTGTTTCCACGCTACAAGTGCGTACTATGACCAAACCCAGTCACAAGCTTGAACATTTATTCCAATACTGTTTTATTTTAGAATCTAATTTACGAATGATGCCAAGTGAACTTATGCATATTGGCTATTGCAAAGAGCAACAACATGCATATTCCTGTAAATGGACATTACGGGACCTCTGTAATGGGTGGGGTCCATAAATCAGGTCCACTAGGAGTTGTGCTTTTCATCCAAACATTAGAAGGCTTGGGAAAAATTAGTAAATTATTGCTCAGTTGTGTCGTATGACAATATTAAGTACAGTAGATGGTCATCCGAATCAGCTTATGCACCAGATGTGGCCGTTTTTACGGTAGTAAGAAAATTTGAAAACACAGGAAATCAGTTATTTTCAATCATTTTTGGTATGTGTGTGTGCTAATGTGTTTATGAAAATTTTAAATATATCTAGATGCTCTTGAATATGGACATTTTGTGTTATTACAAGTTGTTGTTTTCATTAAGCGCAAAGCTACACAAAGGGCTATCTGTGCTCTGTCCACCACGGGCATCGAAACCCGGTTTCTAGCAGTATAAGTCCGCAGACATACCGCTGTGTGTGTTATTACAAGCTCTTAAAAATTGAAGTTAAAACTAATTTATCTTGTTTTCAAATTTTCTTACTACATTAAAACCCATTAATCCTAATATTTTTGATATGCATTTATTTGGGTGTTCGATGAAGATTGGAATATTATGTAAATATTGATACACACAACCTTTTTGGCATTATTATGTGTAGTTGAAAATGCGACAAAACGATATATTGGTTTCTTTGAAATGACTATTTTATTATGCGTGAAAAAGTTTTTGTGATAAATGTAGGTTTTTAATTGTTTTAAAAATTTTATTCATGAAAACTCACAGTTTTTGGTGGTAATATATAGACACATTCGGCCAGCAGAGGGAATTAAATGGATTGGCGTCAATATGAAGTAAAGGCGCCTCAGTCGCATATATGGTTACTTTGATTGCGCTGTTTGTTGAATAGTCCGGTGATTATAGTCGGAATTATAGTTTTAACCGTGTGTCTCAAGTTAAAAAGACTTTGGGCCCATCAAATTTAAGATTAAACTTGGAAGTTGAATAGAATATGAGCATTTATTAATTAAAATATTATTTCTGTAAATTATATTTTTACTGTACCTCATTTTCTTTATATATATAATAATACGGTTATACCGAAATAAACATGTCGATCATAAGAAGCTTACTGGAAAGAGTAGTGTATGGCACTACAGATAATGAGTTTAAAGTAATAGAAGTTGATCCAGAAAATTATGTGTTCAGCTGTGTACTTTTTCGTGAAGATTGTCTCGTTCTCTATTACGGTAATCAAGAAGGTGTAGCTATATACGATGTGGTTTTACATGCCGATGTTAAGTCCTTTCCTCATACAGCTTTCAGGTAAGAATGGTTTAGTTTGATTGATTGAAACTGAATACAGTGCAGACTATTAATAAACGTATGAATGTTTTTTTTTAGTTTAAGCTATGTTGAAAAGTCAGATTTTTGCTTTATTTGGTAGCCCTTGTGTGATATAGTTTTGTCTGTAGTTATAATTTATAAGTATGAAAATATTTTTTTTACGAGTTAGAAAACAAAAACTTGTATAGATTAATTTTATTATTTTGATGCATATAAGCATGAAGTTGTATGAAACTGATAATTTTGTGACCAGCATAACATTTATTAAATGAAATAACCTTATGTAATTACAATTTAGAGGAATTTTTGGTTAGTAATTGACAAAAAGTTATGTTCTTTTAACAGTTTACACAGGTCCTCTGGGTGTGAGAAAAGCCAGAATGTTTACCTGTACTTGAAGGATAAACTTCCAATAATAGTACAGGCTTCTCCAGGAGTGTTGAGTGTTTCAAAGCTTCAGGAGCTGTCCAATCTCATCAGAAACAATACAGGTTGGAGTGTTGCCCACATAGCTGTTCATTTTAGTCTACTGGAATGTTTTGATAAAGAAAATTTTGTCAGGTAGGATAAAACACCTCACAGTTTTAAAGACTTCATTCAAAACACTTAAACAGATCATTGGCCACATATACTATCTTCAGATTGAAAAATAGAATTTACTGTCTTTACTGCCTTAAGTTTAAGTTGACAAGCAGGATGGTAAAATTACAGAACTACAGGAAAAGTAGGAGTTTGTGAAAAAAGAAATTAGTAATGAAAAATGATTATGCAAATCAACTAAAAACAAGGATTTTTTTAAGTATTGTTACGTCTCCGTTCGTTAGTTAATTTTCCGTAAATTTCGTTCCGACGAAACTTTAGCGACACAAGTCCTTTCTTTACAGTTGTATTTCTTACTTTAACATTGACTGGCTCTACCTCCTTGCACACACCCAACAATGCCCTTTCCTTAAGTGTCTGCTCACATTTAGAGAAATTGGCCACTATTTATAGGTACTTCTTGATGACCTGCCACAAGTGACCTTCCAATCTTCAAATCTGCTGGCCTGGATGGGTCTTCCAC